TATATATATATATAAAAAAAATTACACGCATAGTGCTATCATAAACACACTTGTAGCTTTAAACTTTTACATATGGCACATTTATTTTCCAACAACAAATATTTTAGCAAAATGTGTTTTTCAGTCGGAATTGCACTCATATTCCATTGCGCTCCGTCTGTTTGGCACGCATGCGTGCGGCATCGCTCGTTTACTGAAGTCTGTGAAGTTTAGCGGAGAATGACGTGCAGAAGGCTCATGCACTCCTGACAGCAAAATGGAAATATTTCCATGACTTTCTAACATTTACAGATGGAGAATATACCAGTGAAATGTAAGTCATGCACTGAGGAAAACACCACATCTAAAACGCATTAAACAGTGCAAGTATCTTATCTGTCAAAACATCGGGTGGGGCAAACCGCTTTAAACTACACGTGTTAACTATACCTTACGAGTTATTTTAAAGCCCGTAATATAAAGCATGTCTCATGTTTAGGACAAATTGGATTATGTTCTTTTCCCTGCAGCAGATCACTCGGTGTCCTCTGCTATTTTCTAGACGCGTTAGTTTCAAACAACTGTATATCGATATAACCGGTATTGCCTCATACCATATCGCTTATAAAGAATATATCTATATATCGAACAAAGTTGATATACAGCCCAGTCCTAGGTGGGATTAATCGGTTAATTTCAGAAAAAAATGTGCGATTAGTTAAAAAATTTTTTTAATCGATTGACGGCACAAATTATATTATTAATTATCATGATTATTAAATGCTGCTTAATAGTAAGTATTACAATATAAGATATACCTTTTAACGTGATCAAGATATATCTTTAAGTAAGTGCCGGGGGCATAGCTTGGGGGGCGTGGTCAGATTTTTCTTCTTGTTTGTCTCTAGCTGATCACCTGCCTGCTTCATCATCTGCACTGGTGTCCGTGCTTGTATTGCCCTCTGGGTTTACTGCCCAACCCTTCTTGAACTTCCTCCAACAGTAATTATATGCACTGCAAACCCAGTTACTGTGTGTGGATATTAACAATTCATATATAAAAAGAAAACCCTGAACGGAAGCTGGATGTTGCAAGCCTTCCTGTTGCCTACAATTTGTGTTTCACATATGCCTAGGTTTTATATTAGATTTATTTGCATTCAGTCTATAGGTTGTTACAAACTAGATTACATCCACTTTCTGTTTCTGTAAGCAACATGCTATTGAATCACACTTTGTGTAGTCCTTGATGCAGCGTAAAGAGGTCTTGTCACGTTTGAGCACAAAATGATTTCACCATGTTGGCAGGGCTGTGAAAAGCATCCCTCTGAGAAATTTAATTGAAAATATGATATGATACAGGTGGATTATTTTTTCAGTGTTACAATTAATGCTGGATGATATGGCCAAAATTTATATCACTATATATTTCTTGATTTCGGTCGATACGATATAATTCAGATATTGATATGAACAATATAATAAAAAGCCTCAGAAAAACTGCCAAGAACTCTCACAACAGATGTCTGTACCTACAAACTTCTGAAAAATTAATTTGCCAAGTCTACAGAACCTCCTCTTATAAAATTATATAATATTTTAGAAATAGAAACGGTACAAATAAATGAATGTTCACCTTTTATTTGTATTTAGCCTTTATATAAACAAGAAATGTGAAATCACATCAAATAAACATTAGACTCTCAGACTCACCTTATTTATATTAATATCTTTAACTTTAATCTATAACGTAGGCTGATTATTCTTATACATTGAAACAAAAGTGCTTCAGCCAGAATAAAGAATATGAAAAGTGCTCAGAGTTGGAGACGGGCTGATTGAAAATGCACATTCATTCTCTGCCAGCAGGAGGCGCTTTTGGCACTGCAGAAACAGCTGTTTCCCCGGTAACGGCTGTAAACAAAGCAGCACTCTGCTCATAAATGCTGCTTTATCAGATAAAACGAAAATCCCATAAATTTTTTCTGAAGACAGTCGGTTCCTTCAAAGATTCATATAAAACACCCGCGTTTTAATTTTGAAATGTGCAGTGCTCATGTTTATTCAACGAAGTCAAACTGTCAAAGCCTTTTGGAAATCTGTTTGTGGCGGTCAGTGTTGATATCGCGGTGGGCCGCCACAAATAAATCAATGTATGGGAAACACTGGTGATTGTATATTGAAATATCAGAAATGTGTTTAAAAATCATATCACCCTTATTGAAAAAAATAAAATAAAATATCGCAGTACATTTTGATATTGAATTATTGTCCAGCCCTAGTTACAATTAGATTTTTATGCCAGTGTTTTTTGCTTTAAGTTTATGATGCAAGTTTGTGCAAGTGGAAGCTAAAGCTTTCTTGTGGAAGAGAAGGCACTGTTTTTCTTGTTTTTTTCTTCTTTATTGAATTGTTCTGGGAGCTCTGCTTGAATGATCAAATGAGAAGCTTTTTAAGTATGCTTGTGTGACCATGAAATATTTCTCTTGTCTGATTTTGACTAATGTACTAATGATTTGGCTAATGCATTTGTTGAATTAGAATAAACTATGAAAAGTGAAATCATGATAGAGTTGGACATTATTATTTGTTTTTTATTAATTTTTTTACAACAGTGGTGGAACGAAGTGCACTGATTACAATTTGATTGTAGGTGACAGGTTTTCTGGCTCAATGGTTGTCACTAATCATTTTTCAGTGCAATAATTTCATCTCTCTCTGTCTCTCATTGTGGTCAAAATTGTACATACACTTTACAGTATCTGCAAAATGTTAATTATTTTACCAAAATAAGAGGGATCATACAAAATGCATGTTACTTTTTATTTTGTACTGACATTAAGAAGATATTTCGGCCAGGGGGTGTAAACTATTGAATAGAATGAAGATGTGTACATTTTTCTTATTTTGCCTAAATAGACTATTTTTTTCTTCTTTTAGTACTGCCCTTCAGAAGCTAAATAAGGTACTTGCATGTTTCCTAGAAGGCAAAATAAGTTCAATTTACCCTGATCTTCAAATTCAAAAAGTTTTCACCTACAGGCTCATAATGCATAGTGTTTCCTTCTGGAGCATCAGTGAGCGTTTGAACTTTTTGTTATAGTTGCATGTAAGCAATGTTCCCTCAAATTTTTGTTCTTGCTGAGCAAAACTATTCTCTATTGGGCAGACATTTCGGCCACCTGAGCAAAAACATTCTTTATACCAGACCTGTACAGCGCGTACACAAAAAAAAAAGTGTGTAACTTTTAATATGCTATTTAAATTTGATTTGACCCTTGATGTAACTAAATGATGTACATTTTAGGTTACCTGAGAAAATATTTTTACAGTATAATACACTGGCGTTTAAAAGTTTTGGATCAGTAAATTTTAAAAGAAGTTTCTTAGGCTCATCAAGGCTGTATCTATTTGATAAAAAATACTGAATATTATTTCACAAAAATATTGTGAAATATTATTGCAATTTAAAATAAAAGTTTTCTATTTTAATATACTTTCAAATTTAATTTATTCCTGTAAAGCAAAGCTGAATTTTCAGTGTCACATGATCCTTCAGAAATCATTCTAATATGCTAATTTAAAATCAATGTTGGAAACAGTTGTGCTGCTTAATATTTTTTGGGACCTGTTTTAAAAAGAACAGTGTTTATTCAAAATATACATTTTGTATTACAATATACACTATACTATTCAAAAGTTTGGGGTCAGTAATTTTTTTTTCTTTTTTAAAAAAATACCTGAGAAAATATTTTTACAGTATAATACACTGGCGTTTAAAAGTTTTGGATCAGTAAATTTTAAAAGAAGTTTCTTAGGCTCATCAAGGCTGTATCTATTTGATAAAAAATACTGAATATTATTTCACAAAAATATTGTGAAATATTATTGCAATTTAAAATAAAAGTTTTCTATTTTAATATACTTTCAAATTTAATTTATTCCTGTAAAGCAAAGCTGAATTTTCAGTGTCACATGATCCTTCAGAAATCATTCTAATATGCTAATTTAAAATCAATGTTGGAAACAGTTGTGCTGCTTAATATTTTTTGGGACCTGTTTTAAAAAGAACAGTGTTTATTCAAAATATACATTTTGTATTACAATATACACTATACTATTCAAAAGTTTGGGGTCAGTAATTTTTTTTTCTTTTTTAAAAAAAAATACTTTTATTCAGCAAGGATGTGTTAAATGGATAAAAAGTGATAGTAAAGACTTGTATTGCTAGAAAAGATTTCTATTTTTAATAAATGCTGTTCTTTTTAACTTTGTGTTAGCCTAATGAAAGAATCAAAATATTGCTGACTGCTGACGTGTGTGCTGCATAATAAAGAGTGCGCGCCTCTCACTCTGCGCTGGTTGCTATTTGATCGCGTCATATCATTGTTTAGTACAATTTATTCGGTCTTTCCACTTATTCGGCGATTTATATTGCTTAATTTAAAATCAATGTTGGAAACAGTTGTGCTGCTTAATATTTTTTGGGACCTGTTTTAAAAAGAACAGTGTTTATTCAAAATATACATTTTGTATTACAATATACACTATACTATTCAAAAGTTTGGGGTCAGTAATTTTTTTTTCTTTTTTAAAAAAAAATACTTTTATTCAGCAAGGATGTGTTAAATGGATAAAAAGTGATAGTAAAGACTTGTATTGCTAGAAAAGATTTCTATTTTTAATAAATGCTGTTCTTTTTAACTTTGTGTTAGCCTAATGAAAGAATCAAAATATTGCTGACTGCTGACGTGTGTGCTGCATAATAAAGAGTGCGCGCCTCTCACTCTGCGCTGGTTGCTATTTGATCGCGTCATATCATTGTTTAGTACAATTTATTCGGTCTTTCCACTTATTCGGCGATTTATATTGCTATTTTCGGCCGAATAATTTTGATTGCCATATATTCGGTGCATCCCTAATATATAAGATATATGAATGATTTTAAATGTCGCACTTAATGTCCATAGACCATTAAGACTTTTTCTTTAACTGTTTATCATACTTGACCCACAGGTTGAGGAGAGCCTGGTGAAGGTACGTAACGCTGGCACTGAGCAGGACCTGGGTATCCAGTACAAAGCTCTGAAACCGGAGGTGGACAAACTGAACGTGATGGCGGCCAAGAGGCAGCAGGTAAAATGCAGCCACTCCTCATACCCAATGTCCTCATAATCTGAGGAGATCTAATTTCATTCAGTGATGTACTGACTTGGAATAGAATTACATCCTCCGCCCACATGTGCAGCAAGGAGCTATGTAGCTCTGGTTGAAGATTTGATTCGTATAATCACAAACAATCTTTGTATCGGTTGGGGAAAAGCATGACTAGGATGGAGCAGCCAGAGTGACGAAATCCATTAAAATGATATGAGAATTGCGTCTTTGGGATTTTTTGGGCTTATCAGGTTAAGCAGTAGTCAGCAGTGATGAATTTTAGCATGAATTTTCCAGGTGAGCTCATCGATTAGGGTTAATAGAATGAAATTTTTTTTTAGGAATAGAGAGAGATTATAGTATCTTGATAATGCTAATTATTTCTCTGTTTGAATATGGAGCTGTTCATTTTATTTATTTAGAGTGATTTCCCCTCTTATGCTACACTGGGCTCTTCTAAGTTTATAATTTCGTGAATCAGTCGACAGTCGCTACAGCCTCTCTCCAAATTGCTGTGGTATTACATTTTTGAAAAACATTTCCCTACTTCTGTCTCAGAAGTTATGCTTTTTTCCACCAAGAGCTGAAGTAATTTTCAATGAGAGCTAGTCCACACTTGGGTGATCTTAGGTTTGACTGCAAAGATCGATCACGAAAGCACATAAATTGAGCCCCCCCCCTCCCCCCTCTTCAAAAACATTTCACATTGATTTGATCAAGATCCTGTGTCATCTGTACTCAAACTGCCCACAAAGTATGTAGTTTTTTTTCTTCTGTAACTTGTGTTCTGACAGACAGCAATTTGTGTCAACGATGTACATGGACTTTAAGTATGGGACAGCAACACTTTAGATTAGAGGCCAGGATGCATTTCCTCTTTCATACAGCTAGATGGAGTGCGTATGAAGCAGGACGTTGATTAACTTGACACGTCGTCTTAAAAATTTGGCACTTATGGCATGACGGAAAAAAATGATGTCCATCTGACTCATTATGTACACTGGCAATAATAATAAAAAAAGTAGACAATACCCAAAGTAAATATGATCACAAAAGTCATCATATTTACTTTGGTTCCACATGGCATGTGTTTCTACAGGCTGTATGGTCATGATCTGATTATGAGCATGTGAGAGCCCTTGGGGGATGCCCTTTAATGTCCTTATTATGACAGGCTTGTAACATCACCCCTGAATTCTCCCTCTTCAAATGACAGGAACTCAAGGACGTCCATCACAAAGACCAAATGGCGGCAGCTCGCGGTGTCCTTCAGAGGAACGTTCCCATGCTGTACACAGCTTCGCGTGCCTGCCTGCAGCACCCAGATGTGGCGGCATACAAGGCCAACCGGGACCTCATCTACAAGCAGCTGCAGCACGCTGTCTCCGGCATATCTAATGCAGCACAGGCTACCAGCAGTGAGGACTCCAGCTTCTCCCAGTCTGCAGGTGGAGGAGAACTGGCCTACGCCCTCAACAGCTTTGATGTAAGTACGTGGGCTATTGGATGTCACGTGTTTGGGCCAGTTTCTCTGATCCAGACAGAAATAGCAAGCTAATAAGCTGTGTCATTGAAGAATTGTCATTCAGCAACATGACCAAGACTAAACTGAGAATTGGGGTGCATTTCTAATTGAAGGGAATGTGCTCTGTGAGCGTTGTCATTTAGGGAATGGCCGCTTTTTTTGCCAGTTTCACTGGGACAGATGCCATATTGCATCCTGAGTTGAAGTGCTGATCTCAAGGGCAAAAAGTGTAGAACATTAGGAAAGCCCATGCACTTTTCAGAGAGGGTGTGAAAAGGCAGTGAATGGCTCGATCCAGCTCTAGGTATGGGATTTAGAAACATAAAATATTCAGAATTAATGGAAAGGTTTGCATTGAAAAGTTATGAAATATGCAGCTCCTTGCAGAACTTAGGCATGGCTTACTGTGTTAAAAATTCTTTAATTGCTGAATCAATAATTCATCTTCACTGATGTTTGCCACTATCTTTGCTGCAGAAAGATCAGACTTTGTTCAAAAATTTAACAAGGCTTGATTTTAGAACTTTTGGTAAATTTTGCTTTTAGGCTTGTGAAAGGTGCTCAAAGATGTTTTGTAGCCAGTGATGAAGATGAGCATATTGTGTGTAGGATCTATAAGCACTTGCATCCTCTGCAACTGCTCCACACAATTTTATCAACAGAGTGTGAGAGCAGCGAGTTGTTGACAAATCCGGTGTGTGATTGAACTGTGTCGAGGAGACAGTAATCCAGGATTGGATCAGATTAAATTTGTATGTCCAAACAAAGCTCAGCTACTGACCTTGGAAGTCTTTCACAAGTGTGAACTTTTGTTGCAGGGTTGAGTCAGGTCAACACCAAAAACTTATCGGAAATAACATGACAATTTGACTAATTTGAAGCAATACATTTATGTCCTGATGTGACTTGTTTTAAATAGTTCAGATCAGAGTCTAAATTTAATTTGAGGTTAAGGGTAGCAAGTGATCATTAGCTATCCTTCATTTATTTGTGCTTTGAAAAGTTAGTCTCCTTTCAGAATAGGGTGCGAATCATTAGTCTAACCGTTTTCGGTCTGTTGCACTCAACATTTTAAACAATCACTTAGCAAAGTAATAAATTCAAATGATATGCACAAACTGAAATGTTGCCATAGAGATCTTCTAAACAAAAACTAGGTTTCAATGGCACCAGCTGTATTTTTGAGCACAAGGTGTCCGCGCTAGGCATGAGCCGATTACCGGTTTCAAGGTATACCGCGATTTGAAAATGTCACTTTCAAAACCGTTAATATTTTCCATTATGCCGTTCCTGTGGTATGCGCTGCATTTCATGTCTCCTCAAAGACTGAAAGTGTAGGAATCCCTCAGGTTGAGTGCAGTGTAGAGAGTAACACGACCCTCCTTCTCCTGTTGGTGCGAACGAGCGGTCAGTCACGTTTGTGTGTGTGTGTGTAGGATGGCCGAACTTAAAGGTCCCCTGAAATGCTTAGAAACACGCAACGTTGCTGTGTTGACGTAATTTTAACTGAAGCAGGATGACAGGGCGGGACATATCAAGCAGCCCTGCCCCTTTTTAAAATAGCCAATAGCGTTCGTTTATATCACAGCTTGGGCTAGAGCCGTTGAACTCTGTAAAGCCGTATGGGGTATGTCAGCCACAATCTCATCCATATTGCTATAAAATATAGCATTCTGTATAGCATTCAAATCGCTCCGATACATTTTGTTGTCTGCGCCGACTGTGTGTGTGTGTGTGTAGGATGGCCGAACTTAAAGGTCCCCTGAAATGCTTAGAAACACGCAACGTTGCTGTGTTGACGTAATTTTAACTGAAGCAGGATTACAGGGCGGGACATATCAAGCAGCCCTGCCCCTTTTTAAAATAGCCAATAGCGTTCGTTTATATCACAGCTTGGGCTAGAGCCGTTGAACTCTGTAAAGCCGTATGGGGTATGTCAGCCACAATCTCATCCATATTGCTATAAAATATAGCATTCTGTATAGCATTCAAATCGCTCCGATACATTTTGTTGTCTGCGCCGACTCGCGCATGTGATCTGCTCCGTGTTGTCGTGTCTCTGGACCAGAGCAGAGTGTGTGCGCGGTGCGGTGGTTAGCGTGACAGCGCGAAACCATACTACTTTTTTTTTTTTTCCTCAATGGAAAGCATATTTACACAGTTTGAATCGTTCCCTGTCCACTATATAGTGCACTACGTGCCATTCACTGTACAGAAAACACAAATTCTGTGGACAAGTGACCGATTTCAGCCACGCCTTCAGCGTCTATTTTGTAGTGTAGGGGGCGGGTGCTTCGGATTCTAGAGAGCATTTGATTGGACAAAGTTTGATGAGAAGCTGAAGTACGATGTGACGTCAAAAAAATCGTTGAGCCGTTTTGGCGGAAGTGACTAACTGCAAGCTTTGAATGCTTATATCTTCTAAATGTGAATGTTGTCACTGTTTTGGAGCACACCGCCTTATAGATAACCTTAAGACTAACATATTGATACTAACACCCAAAAAACTTTAATTTTGATTTCATGGGGACTTTAAGGAGCTTCCCCTGGAACTTACGCGATCGGCAACCGGCCATTTTTTGACTTGTTGCAAGCAACTCGTCTCTGTTCTGGACTTGCACAAACTGCGTTGCAATGCAATAGTTTTCCAAAATGTAATTTATGTGAAAATATGAAGTCTGTAAATGCCCGTTAACACAGGCCAGAGACGTTGAAGACGGACGCACAGAGAAAAATACTGTAGCAGGCAGATCACTCACTGTTCATGATGCACAAACTATTGGAAGAAAATCCTCAATATTGATTTGAGGGTTTATATCCATGTGCTTCTGAGGGGAACTGACTGTCTTCAGAAAAGTTTACGTGGTATTTTCTTTTCATCTAGTCTCTGTATAGTTCATATTAAAGCAGTGTTTCAGCGCAGCGCTGCTTTGTTTACAGCGGTAACCAAGGAAACGCTGTATGGGGTGTTCCTGAAGCGCCTCCTGCTGTCAGAGAGTGAATCTGCGTCTCATTCAGAGCTTCTGCTGTTTGCTTCGTTCAGGCATGTAGTATAATTTCACAAAGCTAGTCAGAACATTGTTTTTGCTTCAAATTGGGTTATTAAATCAAATTATGTATATGAAATAGGGATGTCAATTTTCGATCATTTCCATGATCGATCGTCGTTTAAATTAACGATCAATTAATCGATTAATCGTTAACGTTAATGCTGCAAAATGCGTCTATGCAGCCCGGCATGACAGGATGTGCAAAAGTTACTCAAAAAAATAAAAATAAAAAATCCTGCTTTCTGACCCGATTTAAAGGGGATTTAGTCTGAATAAAATGCTAGTAGCAGGATTGTAAAATGAATAGATGTGGTTATGATCATTTGATAAAATGAAGAGAGCTCGTTTGAGATCATTTTACTTTGTTGACTGTTTCCTATCCCGACACGGAGACCGCTGAACGCGCCTCTTTAAATGGTTTTGTGGTGGTCGTTGTTGTATTTTAAAACACAATTGCAATGATTTCAACTGACATTATGGCATTTAAAATAAAATGATCCCAAACGTAACTG